ACACAGGAAATGCAACTGTCCCGAGTGCTGCAAGATATTCAAATATCTTTTGGACCAACACCTCAGCTGCACACTGAAGATGCTCTTTACTTTAAAGGTCAGCAACTCGCACGTTAAATGCAAACAGCGAGCGACACAAAAGCGCGGCCTACAAAAGCCCCCCCGTCTCTAAACTGTTTTGGAAAATTCACGTCTTGTTCCGTGTTTGGGAAAGGTGCTGTCCTGACCCCCTTTACCGAGCCCATAACGTTCCCCCTTGCTCTCACACAGCTGCATAGTAAGCACCTGTTAAAAGCCTGCAGAGCAACCCTCAACCTTTCAACGACAGGAAACTCTCTGGGTTGCTCCCCTCCACAGTGCGCATGCGTGCATGCAGGCGCAGCATAAGTGCTCCTGTGATAGTGTTATAATAAGAGAAGCGGATGATGACATCTTCACACCTAGACTCAAGTGCTGAAAAACCTGCTTGCTGCACTTAAACAGCTCTTTTTTAAAAAAAAAGAAGATTTAAATAAAATTTCCCAATGGCGGCACCTGAAATCTGACATTATTGGACGCTTGAGGAGACGTTTCATATCCAAAGAGGTGAGTTTCACACGTGTGATTCTTCTTACTTTAAGATTAGGTCAAAGAAGTAAAGTGAATCTGTGATAAAGGTGTAACAGGAAAGGATTTAAACGCCTTTCTTGTCTTAAAGCAAATATTCTACATAAATCTGGGGCTTGTTTTCAAATTTGGACTTTTCTATGAACTTAAAAAATGGCAAAAATAAATACAGAAATAAATGAATAATGTTCAGCCTGCTTCACAACAGTAACAAAGCGCCTTCAGTTACTGGTTATCTCCTCTGTTGATATAAATCTGCATTACAGGGAAGATGTGACCACAAAAGAACAAACCGTTTTCTTGTAATGAAATACGAACGCTTCTGTAAATCTACTTTATTAATCTGTCTTTAAATAACATCTTCAAGTTTGGGTATTAAAGTATTTTGATACAAAGTTGACACTTCCTATAAAAGTTTGTCTGTATATGGAAACAATGTCGACAATGACAACTGTTAAAACGGTAAATAAATTTAACTGTTTAAATGGTGTCCCAGCAATTTACATAAAAACTTAAATCTATCGAATATCTATTCCACTCTATTAAAATCTATTATTTTTTACAAAAAATATGTTTTTTTATGGTTTGTTTCTTCAAGCTTCTGAACTGACAATGAGTGACTGATGTCAAAAGTCTTAAAATCTTGGTTCATCGCATCATTTCTGGTACACTTAATATCTGAAGTAGCCTTGGTTACATTGGAAACAATAACAACAACCATCAGTATGATTTTGGAAAAGCCTTCAGATGTCGATGATAAAAAGCAGAGGGTAACCCCTCAGTGGAAAATGCTGACTTGTATTACTCCCCGAGTGTGTGTCAGTAAGTGTAGGAGTGCTGATGATAAAATAAAAACATCTTTATGATCCCTCTGTGATTCCTCTCTTGGGGTCTCGGGGCAGTAGTGGGCTGTTACTGCCGGCTGAGGCCTCTCCAGATTTTTCTCACGGCTTTGAGCCTTTGGGACAGACGGCTGCTGCGATTGGCCCACTGACCTTCTTCCATGAATGGTCTGGTGGGAGCCGAGTGAGCCTGAGAAAGCCGGTTCATACAGAGTACCAGTCTAAAACACAATACAGAGCACGTGCAGATGCTGGATTATACCAGATTAACGCTGGTACACTTCTGCAGGGCCTGCTTTACTTTCTCCAGAATGAGAGCAGGAAACGGCCCGATGTGACTGAACATTGAACATTATAGCAAAACTGTGTCAGTTCTGGATGTGATTTTGTTTAACTGACGTAGGGTAGCATTTAAAAAAGTCCCTTCAGGTCTCAGACTCTTGTTTCTGAGCCCGATTTACCTCTGAGGCTCCATTTTGAGGCGAGGCCCTCAGTCACATCCGACTGAAGCAGTTTTCGGAAGCAAAAGCTTTTTAGAGCACACAGTTTCAAATTTAGCCAAAAAAGATTTACTCATACTGCTTTTCTTTAGATTTTCCAAGAGAATTTGACTTGCATCATTTTAAATCCTGATTATAACCCTAACCCTGATTATAATATGTGGTTGTAAAGCGATGTGGAATCATTCGTCGGTGAATCTAAGATGCCATCTCTTCCACTGCTAATTTGTTGTTCCCGTTTTATGAGCATTGCATTTT